CAGAACTATTATTAGCATTTGAAATTTAAGTATGTACAATGTTTAATACAGTACACATAATCAGTGTTCAAAAATGACAGTTATTATTGTCATTGTTTTTAACTGATTATTCTGAAAAGCTTCGTTAAATTCTATTGATCTTTACTTAGTTTTGAATAACTAAGCTATTTAACTCACACAAGTGATATTGAGCTGGCTAGATACCAACAGAAGGCTTTGCACAAATAATATTTAATACGTGCACATACACATATAATTGTTATAGTTCCAAGCAATGAAAATGATTAAAGGAATGATATGGACTGAGATTCTCTTGGGGTGGGGGGTTTCAGGTGGTATTCCCATGAGAATCCCAGGACATAGAGTTTACTGAACTGAATGAGGAAGCTTCCAGGAGGCTGCGTGGATATTTTATGTTCCCTCGATCAATAGAAACGTGGAAATTACTTTATAAAGCGTGCACGTGGGCATACACTCCAGAGATTAATTGAGAGACTTGCTTTGTCTATTCTAACAAATGTTGGTTAAATTGGATTTTCCTTTTCTCTAGAACTATCAATAGTTTTCCTGTGTTGGATTGAATACATAAATCAAAAGAACATATTTCATGAACAAACTCTGATTATGAAACCCCTATTCGTCATCTATCGATTGCTAAAACTTTATTTACCATGCATTTTATCCTTCATTGTATCAGGTTAGAACTGCTCCTTTTCTCATTATTGTAGCTACAACTTTCTGCGGCTCTTGAATTGTTGGTATCAAGGAGCCCTCAAAATAGCATAGAAAACGTGAACAACCCCATTGCTAAACCATTTCTTGCTTCCATTTTGCATCAGCTTTAAATTACAGTAATTGTTTTACTGCATTTCAGCATATTACTAAAGAGTTACTATACTAACGATTCTTTACTGCTATTCGTCCTATAAAATGTGTGGAACTGCTTAAAGGAAAACGGTATTTTCATGGGAAACTCTGGGTTTTACTTTTAAATGATATGCAACCAAATGCAAAAATACTTCCAAGTTGTTTTACTTCCCAATTCATAACAAATTGCCTCAGTAAAATCCTTTTACAGATTTCAAAACTTTTTCAAAAGGAAAACCAAGAGAGATCTCTTACAATAACTAGAGCATGTACTGATTCAATATGAAAACTAAGCTTTAAAAAATCTGCTAATGTTATCAGTGCTCCCCGTTTGATAATAAAAAGTCTGAATTGATTTTTTCCAGTTTTAGTACAAAAAATACGACATAACGAATTTCAGCTTGATGTAATTTGCAATAGCCAATATATTAAACCCCAAAGTGAAATTTAAATTGGCAATCATGTCAGATTCAAGTCCCTGAATGAATATTAATTTGAAAACTAATCATTTTCCAACAGGCTGAAGCTTCGAAATGCTAGTTTGTGAAGAAAAGCAGTTAGATCCGTTACTCTAACATCGGGCATTTTTTGTTTACGAAACCAGACCTCCGATATTCACTATGTCTGACTCTTCTCGGCATCTTTTTTTTCCCCCGGGGATTTCATTATTTAAAACTCATTTCTTTTATGAATTTGGGAAATTAGAATTCCGATTTCACTGCTGGAAAGCTGATACTGAGTGAACTGTCTGGGGTGAGGTGTAAGGTCAGATCTGTTAATTAATTTTATGTCACTGGGCCTTGTAAGTTAATTCTGATTTTTGAGCCAATCCCATGAGTAAAGGTTATGTTTTAGTTTTATACACACATCCACACACCACATAAATTCATTGAGTTGTGGCCATCCTGGAGGATGAGTAAAAATATGCATACACATTACAGACTTGCAATTTGAAACTTGACTAAACCATATTGTCAATTACGTCTTCTACCTCTGGCCAGCATGATGGAAGTCCCTAAGCCCGAAACGACACAGAATTTGGATGTGCTACAGAATAATACAACACTCGGTAAGTTACATTTTATCTTAATATATATTCTTGGCACTTATACAGCTAAAGAGTTACAAGCTGCATTTATCCATATCTTGGCCATAAAATCTACCAAAAAGATGGTTCTGTGTAAATACCAGACAGCGTGGGGAAACAAGACAAGCCTGATGGTCAGATGATGGAGCTAGCTCTGTCACTTACTGCCTAAACGACCCTACACAACTCGACAGCTTTCTATACTTGAATAAATCGTGCCTCCCTCTGTACTCCTCTTACTTTTTTATGTAGAATTCAAAGAAACCTCATTTTGTTCATCTAATCGTCTTACTTCATAAAGAAGGAAACTGAGTCAAATGAATTTGTTAAGACTACAGAGTAGCAATAAATGAATCATATTTCTCTACTTCTCATCTCTTGCCCTTTCCACTACTTTTTACAACCACTTATTTTGTGCGTGTGAGGAAGACTGGCCCTGAGCTAACATCCATTGCCAATCTCCTCTTTTTGCTGAGGAAGATAAGCCCTGAGCTAACATCTGTGCCAATCTTCTTCTATTTTGTATACGGGATGCCACCACAGCATGGCCTAATGAGCAGTGCCACGTCTGAACCCAGCATCCAAACCTGCGAACCCAGGCTGCTGAAGCAGAGTGTGGGAACTTAACCACTACGTCATTGGGCTGGCCCTATAACAACTTTTAAGGCACAAGCGCGTTTCTTATTAAATATTTATAATATAAATTATTACAAATTTCATAATATCTTAAATGCATTCAGAGTGGTGTCCAGTTTAAAGGAACCCTATGCATATCTCCAATTTTGAGTAAATAATTGCTCTTTAATTTTCATTTGAATGAATCCAGATTCTCACAAGGCTGGGTACCTCCAAAATCTATCAATAAATGCCAGACCAATAAATGACCGATCTGCAGGGGTTTTCTGTTTTATGACTATTTAGTTCTGTAGTTTTAATGTAAAATGTAGAACGGGAAAAATCTTATGTAAAAATAAATAAAAGTGCACAAATTGGAAAGGACAAGTTTTCTCTTGCTAGTCAAACAGTTTTGAAATAAAGCAGTCCCATTAAATCCTAAGTACTTCAACCTTTTCTTAAAAGAAGGGGAAGATTTAAAGATTTATAAAGAAATTTTGCCTAAACTAGGAAATGACTCATATCTGACATGTATGGAAATGATAATGTTGATTTCAATAGGCACTCTAAGAGCATTTCACTCCCTGGAGAATAATTCAGCCATGGTTACCTCTTCACATTTGGATTTTAAACTTTCTTGTGAAGCTTTTAATGTACTACTGCCTGCCAAAACATGGCACAGTTTCACAGATACGGCAAAATAAAGGCAAGTAAAAGGAATTCTTTTTTTATCATCGTTGATACAAAAATATGCAACAAACATGTCTATTTCACGTCTTGTGCAGATTCCCTTTCTTTGGCAGTTTCTATTTCCACATGTTTTGACATTATGACCCAATTCTGTTGCACTGGTGCGTGGGTGGAATGGAAAACTTCAAGATACAGAACAAATTAGTTCGCTACCTGCTAACTACTAACAAATGAGAGGTAAGCAGGAACAGATTGAAACAATCATGCACTATAGACAGGACCTGACATCACATATGACCTAGCCTTTTGTAGGTCCTTTCAAGCCTGATAGTATGGAAATGGCAGTCCCTACCAAACGCATTTGCTAAACTCCTATCCTAACTAAAAGCTGAGTAGAAGGGCCAGCCTGGTCGTGTAGCAGTTAGGTTTGCATGCTCTGCTTCGGTGGCCCGGGGTTCACCGGTTCAGATCCCAGGCATGGACCTACACATCGCTCATCAAGCCATGCTGTGACAGGCATCCCACATGCAACATACAGGAAGATTGGCACAAATGTTAGTTCAGGGCCAATCTTCGTCAGCAAAAAGAGGAGGATTGGTGGTGGACTTTAGCTCAGGGCCAATCTTCTTCAAAAAAAAAGCTGAGTAGATAAGGTATAACATGCTGATTGAATGTTACTTTGTGAATACCTTCTCATAGAAATCAGCCATTGTTACCTGTCTGCATTTATATTTTAAACGTTCTTCCTAAGGCTTTTAATGTGCTACTATGCAAATATATGGCAGAATTTCACAGTTATAATCAGGCAAAATAAAGATATATACAAATTGTATTTAAATCTTCAAGAACTATTTCGATCCTGAAATAGACTTTAAAATCCAAATAACAATTCTTGGGACCCTCTAAGGAAGTCTACTCATTGTTTGCTTCAGTTTGGAAGAAAAGTATGAGAAGTAAAAGACTATTTTCATAAAATGAACAAGGGTGCAATTACCCTCTAATGTGAATGGGGTTTTCCTGGACCATTGTTTGGCTGCTCCTTGAGAGCATCTTCTGGGAACTGAGGTACAGAGTACCTCTGGTTTGAAAGGCAACAATGACTTTTGGCTGCATCGGGCCATTCCAGTACCCTGAAGAAACAAAAGAATAAACTGTCTGTATTTCCAGGAACCAAAATACAGACATCTTACAGCTATTTCAGCCTTTAGCAGCTTTTATGGCTAATACGAACCGTGGCTGACAACTAAAGTAATAATATAACACCTTTTGAGTGTTTGAACTGTAAAGTTCATTAGTTCTGAGGTCAACATTTTAACGCAACAGCCAAATTTTATTCACATCATCAGATGCTGTCTGTGAAAGACAGTTGTAACTACCAGGCAGGGGCTTAAATACATCCATGACTAGTAAAATTAGTACTAAAAGAGCCCTTACACATTTTTTAACAATCTATACTAACCAAAGAAAACAAAAACTTCCTGAGGATATTATTACTCTAAAGAGCATTGTCCTAAGCTTCTGTGGCAATTTTCACAGTAAGTCTGATGGGGAAAAAGGCTGATATGTCAAGAGATACATCATTAGGTTATTTAAATATTGTTTTTCTTTAGTTTTCATTTACACATACCTGAAACCTAAAAGATACCGCTTCAGATCTTGTGGGAAGATGCTATTTAAAGGAAAGAAAGGAAGACAGATCTTTGTGTTTAACCAAATGTTAAATATTTTTTATTTTACTCACCTGCACACTAAGATGAATCCATTTCTTCACAAGAATTCTCCCCAGTGTCATTACTTTTATTGGAGGCTGCAAACCATTTACTGTGCGGTAATAAAACATGGTCTCTTTCTCAGATATTGTAAGTTTGAACACAATCTGCCCATCCGCCGTCTTTTCTATAACACACCTTAGGAAGCAACCAGAAAAAAGAAAAGGTCAGCATCCAACCAAAAGGCATGCTAAGGCATTGTGCAGCTACAGTGTAAAACTGACCGCAAACTCCACTCAAAGGGTATACTATGAATAAGTGCCTGATGGTCAATGCATTCAAAGCAAGCTTTATTCCAATCAAGAAGCCCTTTTCTTTCAATAAAAAATAGAGTTCTTGTTCGCAATATATTCCCCAGAACCTCAACACCCTTTATTAGAGATTCACGATGGAAACTAAAGTAGTTGAATCATCCTGCAAAACTAACATTTAGCCTATTGGCTCATTAGTTCCTCTTATATTTCTTTTATAGGAAGCGGCACAATACACTACATCCTGCTTGAGTATTGAGTTACCAGTGCAAATCTTTTTCTTTTTTTTTTAATGTAAAGAGAATTTAGTGTCTATAGAAGGCTGTAAACTGCTAGCCCTGGAGTCAGAATCGCTCTATTTAATTCCCATGATGAAATGGAGAATAGACAACGATAGTCTTTACTTACCTCATCATCAACTGGCCAGAAGCCAAAGCCAGTGTCTGTAGGACGACTGGCTAGCTCTCCATGACTACACAGCCCAACTGAGGCACTGAAGTAGTGTTAATGATCTTGGATGAAAGGTTATCCAATCTTCTAAGAACATAGTGAAACAATATTTTGATAAAATAGAAGAATTTTCAGAAAATTTCTAGGTTTTGTGTCAGGCTAGTTATCAAATTATTTTTTTAAAAGTCTCTTCTATCCTTATCACAGTGGTACTCCTTTCCCATCCCTTTAAACAGACATATGGCATTTTTTTAAAACATTTTTCACTTTCTATATGAATTTATGTTTAATAGAAATTATTTTATTTTATGTTAACTATATCATCGCAGTTTCTGACCACACTGTACCCAATGAGGAGAAACAGATATGAACTTAAGCCCCATCCCTCTCTATCACATTTCAACCTAGCAACTCAACTTTTTAGCAGAAGAGAGAGTATTATGAGTGCTTTCTGGTAGCCTTCTGAGGGGGTTATTCCCAAAGACCTGCCAGTTAAACAGAAATACCACTGACATTAGCCATCAACATCTCCCCAAATAACTAGCTATTGAAGATGCTCATCAGCCTGCATCTCATAGACAAGAAGTCAAGAAGGTGGTACACCCAAAGAAGGAGAATTTCATCAGTTACTGGAGAAGCCTGGGTCTCTCTCTCCAACTCGTTGCCTCCTACTTAGCAGGCATTTCCATGATCAAGCCTGATCCTGGAACCCCCCCACTCAAGGTTGCTGAAGAGGCCTTCCTTTCTGTTCACTGAACACACTGTGCTGCCTTGGTAACAAGACCAATCCATCCGTCTTCTCATTAGATCATGAGTTTTTGAGGACAGAAGCATAGCCCAGTATATTGTAGATCCCCGAAAAATGATGAGTTAGTGATCAAACTGAGTAGAAAGCATCAAAGAGGCAAAGATAAGATTAAGCCAACCAAGAATTATTACTAAAGATGCTTTAAAACTTTCCTTAAAGGGCACATTTTTCACAAATCATTCCTTCTCACTTGCACTTATTCTTTCCCCAAGTTGAGAGGTAAGAATAAGATTGGAAAACACTTAATAGTGACTATTTTATTGTACATGTTTTGGTGACATTGTATATTTTGTACATGTATTTGGTGACAAAGTTCTGAGAGCAAGAATATTTTTAATTTAGGCAAATAGGTTTAGTTGACATAAAAGTTTACATAAAGTAGAAATAAGGTTTTATAGAAATTCTACTGTGATTTCTTTTAACCCTTTGGTAGTTGGATATTTCTAAGTCAATGGAATGAAAGAGTTTCTCTTTATTCCCTGCCTCCAGGTCTTAAACAATCTAAGAGGAGTTTGCCTCTATTCGTTTTACTTGAGTTTAAATCTACAAGTTAGAATTTGACCATTACTCAAGAATGTATTTATCAAATGCAGGCTTATTTCCCCAAGCTTACTGAAAATGCATTTCTTAATATGTTATTGATTATCTTCCTTGCTATTTTGTTTGCTTGTAAACATACTAGCTTTGGTAGATAATGAATGTGAGAGGAAGGCAGGTAGCAAAATATTTAGGAACTGGATTTATTCTGCTCCTGGATAAACAATAATTGGATAATCCATGTTCTGTTTGTTTTACTTATCTAGTGCAAACACCCCGAAATTCTCCCAATTCCCATAGGTATTTTAGTTTTGAGAATGAAAATGACCTTGATGCATGGAACTCTCCAAATCATAAAGCATGTGCTACTGCCTCTATAAATACTCCTCTGTCTTATTTATACAAAATGATACCAATAGAAGATGAATTTAGTAGAGACATACCCCTGGAAAAACATCTTATCCTAGCCATATTTGTCGAGAAACAATTTTTTGAGTCACTTTGGGCACTAGTTACATAAACCAAGTAGCCTGGATTTACTGACATTTCAAATAGTAAGAAAACAGGATTTTCTTTTAGGAGAGAAATAGAAATAGGGATCACGGTTTGTGATTATTTTCATTCCAAATAAAACAAAATGAAAATATGCCAACTTTTACTTGGCAAATTAAAACCAAACACCCAAGACATTGAAGTCGTATTTGCTTATGAGATTATAAGACTTTTCTGGTTTGTTTCACAAGTTTTTAGGTATTTGGCCAATGCTCTTACGCAAAGAAAACGTCACAAGGGGAAGAACCAAGCCCTACAGGAAGACAGAAGATAGGCCAAAAATGCTTCAAAATTGTCCTACTTATTCCAGTTTCTAGATTGGCTCTAGACGCTTAAGGGAAACACACTAGACATCAGCTTTAGAAACTGTTAGAGAATGAAAAACAGGTGATGACATAAACTAACAAAAAATGATGTTAAGGACGCCACACTCCAAACTCACAGAAAATCAATGGCATAAAAGCTTTTGAGAATCTTTCATACTTATCTATGTATTTCCTAACTACCTGGAAGATGAAAATACCACAAGGTAGAGGGCCAAAAGCTATGTCTTTTCAGAGATGGAGTGTTATTCGTTTTCTCAACTCATACTGAGCATCTTCCATGAGTCAAACAGACATCTCTTCTTGGGGAAATCGGGATGAATTAAACACAGTTCTAAGCCCACAGAGAGCTAGCTGTCTGATGAAAATTTTATACTGTAATAGGGGCAGGCACTTATACAAACCCAGACCAAGACTTTGAAAATATCAATTATTTGTATTATTAGTCCCTATGCCTTAAAACTCACCCTGAGCCTGGTGTAGCCTCTGAAGATTTGACTAAGACCAAAAGTTTAGCTAAACTACTAGGAAAAAATGAGTCAGGTGTCAACACGTCTGCCTGCAACGAAACTATTTTAACCTATTCTTTTCTGAGGGCTCAGATCATCTACAGGAAGGAGATAAAAATTTTAAATTTAGGAAAAAAATGTTTGGAGTGTAAACTTGAATAGGAAAGAAGAACATAGGAGTCGGTCTTCAATCACGTGAATTCCAAATACTAGCTTTCCTTTCTAGTTGGGAATTGGAGCTACAATAGTCTTCTCGACCGCTGATCTTTCGGGACCCTAGGAAAGCTGACACTCACTCGACTACTTACATTACACCCTCTTGCTCAGGTTTCAGCCACACAGCTAAAGTAAACGATGCCGCCAGCGTTGGAGAAGGAGGAGAAGAAAAGCAATTCTTGTGATTTCCAAAAATAAAACTTGTCGAATTGCTATGGGAGTTGGGACGCAGATCCTGCTGGTCTGCGGTGATGCAGCCTCTGAACCCTGCTGAGAGCAGGGCAGTAAAGTTCGGGGATGAAGATCGATGTGGACAGTCCTGAATGCAAAATCGCTGGGTGCAGAACTGGAGACTTTCGGCAGAACTGTGACAAAAAGCGTTTCGGTCTGGGAGTCCACACGTTGCTTGGGTTGGCACCATTGAAACCTTCTTGAAAGCTGCCACATTCTCCAGCCTTGGGAAAAGACCTTGTGAGTGAGCCAACGATATGGAAACAAAATAAGCAAAGATCAATGTTTCAATGACGTGAAACAAGAAGCCGAAGCCCAGTGAAAGAGCTAGGCAATTCATGTTTACAAAAACGCATTCTCCTCCTGGTAAAGCTTTCCTAAATAAATAATAGGGCCAATGCCGCTCGCCAGCAACACTTTCAAGCAGGATGCTTTAAGTAACGCTGAGAATCTCCATTTTCGGGAAATCGCAGACACGTTTTCACACTGAGGTAGTACCAAAGGCGTTCTTAGCAATGGCGAAGACATGAGTAGCAGCTGGTGTCTGAGAATCAAAAACAGAGTGTCAAGAAAATCCTGCTCCATCTGTAAACCCGAAGTTCATCCTAAGCATGAGGAGTTGAGCCCCTGCCAAGAAACATTATCGAACTTCTCAGAAAACATTTTGAAGTCCATTGTCTAGAGTATTTTAACTCACTATTTTAGTAAATATCTGCATTTTACGGGGCAAATCAAGCATTTTAAAAGTCCACCGGACAACCAGGTTTATAGATACATATAGAAACAGGTTTTTATTAATATATTTCACCACACAGCAATTTCAGATTGTTACTCCGCCCCAGGGAATTAGCACTATCCACTCTACTTAACAAGGTAAAGAATTGTATAGATTTCCTTTACACATGAACCGTGTGCTGGAACACAGAGGGAACGTGCTGATGTCCGAAATAAAGCTGCCAGAGCACGCTGGCCCTTGCCCCCTTATCCCAGCATGGGCAACAACTTTAAGCTCACAGTAAAGCTGATTAGAAACCCAACACCATCTGTCTGTCCCAAGCTTTCGTATTTAGCAAACGTTTGTGTGTTTCCTCATATGACTAGGTATTTGTCAGTTAAACATGGACCCCTAATACTGTGTAAGTAATTGTATTGATAAATAAGCTGAGTTACCATTTCTTTATTGCATTGCAACCAGTCCCCTCAATGTGACAAATGGCTCTTCACAGGACCCTTGTTGCCTTCACTGTCCCTCGTTGCCTGGCAACGCTGCAGCAACCCCCGGTGACTCTTAGCAAAGAGGCCGCCGCAGCAGGATGGCTGCAAGGAAGACTTGGGCGCCCAATAAAGTGTTCTGCACAGCAAACACTTGGTTACCTGAAACTCACAGAGCGCAGTCTGCTCGGTGGCCCGCCTGGAACTGAGCTCCCCAAGTTTTCAGCAGGTGCCTGGAGCAGTGGGAGGGACCAGGATGGGGCCAGGCATGCATAATTTTAAAGTAGCAGTACACCTTATCCGATAATCCCCTTTTCGCCCCTCCTCTTTCCCGCTTTCATGCACCTCAATCCGTTTAATCACGTCATCCAAATGACCTGCTACTGTTAGACAGGAACACAATGAACAATTTCCAGGGTTCTTTCTCTTTTCTGGGATACAAAGTGAGATTCTAAATCTTAATATATTGATGCGCTAAAAGTTTGGTCCGTGGATGGAAGTTTCTGTTGACCATTCAGTCTTACTGCCTCCTTCCCCCAGGATAGCCTCTCCTAAATACACAGGCTTCTCTAGACTCTGGGGAGCATCTGATGTAATCTCTAAATGTTGCATTTGGAAGATCAGGGATTTTTTTTTTTTTTTTTTTTTTTTGAGGAAGCTTAGCCCTGAGCTAACATCTGCTGCCAATCCTCCTCTTTTTGCTGAAGAAGACTGGCCCTAAGCTAACATTCGTGCCCATCTTCCTCTACTTTATATGTGAGACGCCTACCACAGCATGGCTTGCCAAGCAGTGCCACGTGTGCACCCAGGATCTGAACCGGCAAACCCCGGGCCCCCAAAGCAGAATGTGCGCTTAACCGCAGGCCACCAGCCAGGCCCCTAGGGATTTTAACTAAACTGCAGAAGCAATAGAATGCTGACTTTTTAAGCTGCTCATTGGATATGAATATGTGTGTATTTATGAATGTGAATTTGATGTCAATACTATATAGTTTCTATGACACCCAAAACTCTTTCTTTTCTACCATCTGGGCTACCTCATCCTAGAGGAGAAATATTCTAAAGCAACTAATACTCCTAGCCCCCCATTTATAACTTAAAAAGGGAAAATTCGTTTGGGAAAGAACTAGCCAACTGTGGTTTTTTTCCCTAAAGTTATCATATTTAGAGAAATGTTTAGAAAGGAGAGAAATGTTTTGATGGTGTTTCTTGTTAGTAAGACAGCTAGAGACAAACCCAAATTTCCTTTAATTTCAGGTAACTCAGATTTCCTTTAATTTCTCTTGATGAGAGACCTGGAAACAACAATCCTTTTATATATCAACTTCGTCAATTAGAACTAGGCGCTTCTGGAGGAAACCTTCACCTTTTGTCAAAATATCCTATTCTGTACTTGTTGATTATTACAATCTTGCAAGGGCAAATTTTCTTAAAAACAAATTTTAATGTAAAGCCAGCTAATATAAGGACTTTTGAGAATTTTGGAAAATGTTTGGAAATAGATATATAGGACACAGTGAATTAGATAAATGGATTGTTCAGATCTGATACAAAACATGTAACTAATGTTTGTCTTTGAAGAAGTTACTTAATGGCTGGCTTCTCCTCCTGCCTTGTGAATCTGAAGAATAACTTTCATTTTTAATTGTGGTACTTCCGTGTATCTTTTGGGTCACCATTCCGAGGATAAGAATTCTTCCACTACCTAACAACTCCTGCTTTGTAGTCGGAACTCATGACTCAAAATAGACAATCTAAGATTAGCGACTCTGCTCCACATTCAGAAACTCAGCCTGTAATTTGCAAAGGCAGACAATGGATTGACACATCCCTCAACTTTTGCAATTCAGTGCTATCAATCTTGAGGACACATCTGGTAAATGAATTGGGCACTAGCAGTTCCACCACCCCTATAAATGCCTGAGAAATAAGTACAGGCAAAAAAGTAAAAGTGTACAGGAGGAAAGTTTAGTTATAACGTAAGTGGCCGTGTGCTGTTATTTTTTGCATATGTTTCTGTGGATTCACTGGGTAGTTCTTCCGGTCTGGACCAGCTCAGCTGGGGTGGGATGGTCTGACTTGGCCTTACTCTCTCATCTAGCAGTTGGCTTGAGTGTCAGAAGGCTACCCCAGGCTCATTCTGATGGCGACAGAAAAATTCCCAGCAACATAAGATAGGAGGCCCTAATGAGCAGGTACATTTCAGGCCTCTGCTAGCATAGCATTTGCTAATGTTGCATCGGCCAGAGCAAGTCACAGGACCAAGCCCAGATTCAAGGGCTGTGAAACAGACTCCACTCTTCAAAGAGAGAATGGCAAAGTTACATTGCAACAAAGGGGCGCACATACAGGATGCAAAGAACTTGAGAACCTTGTGCAATCTACCACAGACAGTTGCTAGCAATTTCTTTTCCTAGTTGTAAAGACATCATGTCACATTGAATCAGACTTCCCCTGTTTTGAAAAAGTCAAGAAAACGTGTTCGAGTTAGACAACTATAAGCAAGTTCTTTCTCATTATCCTGGAAAAGATTACTCTAAAAGGCTTAGTTTTTCAGTCAGTTGAGGCTTAGCTCCCATTGATGGACAAAATCAAGGGGTACCTCCCCGTTCTTGGATTTTTAGCATCCCTGGATTTACTATTAAAATTGACTGCCCTCTGGCATAACTGATCCAGAAACAAAACAGTGTACATACAAAAAGTAACACTAGATATGAAAATAGAGGCATAAACTACAGATGCAATGTGACTACAAATATAAGAAAATACTGTAGACAATATTATGAGAAGTAAACTTGAATTCTTAGGCAAACTGGGCAAATTCCTAAAATAATCTCCAACCTAGGCTGATTTAAGAAGAAAGAGAGCTGGAAACAACCCAAATGTCCATCGACTGCAAAATACATAATAAACTGTGGTATATTCATACACTGGAAGGAGGTAGCACAACGAAAGAAAAATGACCTACAGCTACAAGCAACAGCACGGATAAACCTCACAGACATGGTCGCGAGTGAAAGAAGCCAGACACCCCAGGGACATACTGTATGATTCCATTTATATGAAGTTCAAGTATAGTCAAAGGTAATATGGTGATAGGAGTCAGAATAGTGCTGTCTCTTTAAAACAGAGGATCACATGGGAATGGGTTCATAGAAACCTATACAAGTGCTGGAAATTTCTGTATCTTGATATAAGTTGTGATTATACAGGTAGACACATTTGAAAAAGTTCATCAAGCTGTACATTTAAGGTCTGTGCACTTTATGCAAAATACATCCGATAAAAAAGAATAGCAGATTTTTTTAATTTTAAAAAATATGAATAGTTCTATTTATTAAATATCGTGCAAATGTATTCCCACAAGGAAAATAATGGGCCCAGACATTTGTGCAAATCAATTATACTATACATGTAGGAAAACTATAATTCCAATTTTTACAAACACTCTTGCAGATGGAATAAGAGATTATTTCCCAACTTATTTTATGAGGCTAGTATAACCTTGAGATGCATAGATAGATAACTGTGGATATAGATATAAACATACAGATACAAAACAGACAGGAGAACATGAGGAAAAACATTGCAGACCAATCACATTCACGTACATAAATGCAAAAAAATCAAATTTTGAAAAAAACACAAACTCAATCCAGAAATACATAAAAAGCTTAAATCTCCTGATCAAGTTGGGTTTATTCCAGAATTGAAAATTGGCTTAAATTAAAAATATGTATTAATGCAACTCACCACAAAAATAGATTAAAGGAAAAACTTTACATGATTTATTTAGGACCAAAATTCTTAATAAAGGATCTATTTATTTAGTTCCAAAACTACTTACTTAGAACTGAAAACAGAAGGAAATTTCTATAACTGGACATGTCATTTACAAAATAACCAACATCTTAAAGAATAATAATAAAAATCTTCATGATAATTTGCACTTTTGTTAAAATCAGGAGTAGAACATGGGCACTCCCTCTGTCCAACATTTTAAGGAAAATAAATACCAAAGGACAAGTACAGGAAATGATTATCAAATGTGACATAGCTCTCCAGATTACACAGTCTAAAGACAAATATTTGACACAGGTTCTGGAGAGACGTATGTATAATTAATGCTGTTCATCAATTTGGGGGGCTCTCTTTTTTCTAGGCGCATGTCAAGTTACAGAGTGCCGCGTGACTTGCTTTAGGTAATGAAAGATGAGCAGTGACATGCGCCACTACCAGGATGAAGCTACAAGTTGTAGTGTGTGATTTACTATGCTCACCCTCTCTGTCACTCTGCCACATCCAC